CTTATCATTTTTTACAATATATAAAATATTTTTAGATCGAGCAGATTTATGCACTATCTTCCTGATGCTCAATGCACTATATCATGTTAATTGGTTATATCATGATATCATGTCTTTATGCAGAGAATTGCGGAAGCATTCTTTCAGATAATTGATTATGTATTGGATTTATTGTAATCATAAAGATAATAATTAAAAGTCTAATTACTCAGCATTTTGCTCATTTAATCGATTTCAAACTCATTTTTAACATCAGTAACATCTCTAATCAAAATAACTTAGATAATAGAATTTTTATGTACCTTTTCATACCATAAAAAAAAAATATAAATCGCTGTTCGAAAGGTACTAAAAATTTTTTTTCTTAAAAAATAAACTTTAACTTCATTGAGTATTATTAATATCAAATTTTTGAACTTATTCAAAATTTTTTCTCAGTCAAGAAATACAAGAAATAATGTATAAAACCAGGATATTTGGACACGCGTGATATAGAAATATTTAGTTAGATATTTTTGTATAGAATTAAAGTAATCTAAATGGGTAAAAAAAATTTAGCACTTTAAGAAAATGACGAATCAGCCGGGATTGCCCCTCAGAAGTTCAGATGATAATCTGTGAAATTGCTACAACATATATTTTATTTCGTCACATAATACAAATGAGCGAAGTTATCAAATTTTATATTTTTTTTATTACTTTAAAATAGTTTTTCAAATAAAATGTTCAGGTTCTTGGTTACTCAAAATAGATTGATGGCTACTGTAGCACTTTCGAATTGTCACCCTATAAATAAAACTTAGATCATCATCCGAACTTCTGAAGGGCGATCTTGGCTGATTCAAAAATATCTTTACTAGAGCATCTATTTTACTAGAGCACCTATTCTGTGGTCTGTGGTATGATTCCTGCGCTTAATATTTATCAATATTTTAGCCAATCCTGTATTAATATTAATGTTCTTTAATGTCACATAAAATTTTACTGTATTATTTACTCTTTTTCTATCGCTAATATTATTTATAAAGTCTTTATGCATTATATTGTAGACAATCAATAAAATTGATTGAAATTTATTATAATTATATTTATAAATAAAAATTGTTAAATTAATTTTTTCAATTAAAAAAAAAGTAAAGAAACAAAATTTAATGTCAATAGTTTCTTTTTCAATTTAACTATTCCTCAACTATCAAAAAATGGGCGACTTCAAAGAGATTTTTAGACCTTTTATTAATCTTTTTTCCTGTAAACAATTACAAGCAGTCTTACTAGCATGGCTTCTTTCAAAACTCGAGCTATATTTCTCTAGAATAATCACTGTAGATATGTTTATAACTATATTAATATCAACTGTAGTAACTACATTGATTTATGCTTCTTGTTCCTTGCTACAAATGTTTCAGTTCAGAAGTTTATTAATAGTACAAATTGAGTATTATGTTAAAGGTAGATTGAGTATGATTTTCTCTACAATAAAGCCTTTTAAATCTCAAAAGCACTAAATTTTTAGATATTTATGATAAGAAAAAAAATCTATAATATGAAGCTTTATCATGGATCATCTTATAACAAACAAAAGAATTAAATAATAGTTCATTTATTGTTCAACCTGCTAATAATAAAAAGTATGAAAGATATAAAATGCCATATTTTAATATTTTGCCCAAAAAGAAACAACAAATTAATATAGAATACAGAGGTCATAAATTCAATGTCATGTATAAATTGCAAGAAAATGACAACAATAATAATCAAATTTATCCTCAACCTCAATCATACTATTATAAAGAACCAGATCTAGTGCCTTCTATTTTTTTATCAGTTATTAATAATAACTCAAGTTCAAATAACAAACTTGATTTTACAGCAATTACTGAATTCATTAGCAAAGTAATGAGTTCTTATTTTAGAATGAAAGAAAAAAATCACAAGCATGCTCGATATAAGCGTAATGAAGGAAATTGGAACAGAGTTTAACTTTTATCAGACTTGAATGGTTTGAAAACCATTGTATTAGATGAACTACAAGAAATATTATTGAAAAGAGAATTAGACTCTTTTGTTAATAACAAAGAGTTTTACAAGAGAATTGGTTTGCCTTTTCGATGTGGTTTTCTTTTATATAGTAAATCCAGAACTGGAAAAACTATATTAATAAATGCTATATCATCTAATTTGTCACGGGATCTTAATCTCAAAGAAATTAAAAATAATAATGATATGAGCGCTGCTTTTAGTTCTATTTCACTAAATCAAATAATTGTTCTTGAAGATGTTGATACACAATAAAATATTCTTTATAAAAGAGGTGTTAGCCACCCAAATTATTATAACTTTATATCTGAAGATTTTATAAAAGAAATAATAATTTATCAAAATATAAGGATTTATTTTCATTTATTAGTTTATCTAATTTTCTTAGATATTTGGATAGGCAAATATTATTAGAAGGCACGATAATTATCATGATAACAATCATATTGAATATCTTGATCCCACATAGTAATAGTGATTAAAACGATTTAACTTTAATGCATTTATATTGATCTGATCTATAAAACTTATTCTATTTCTTATTTTAGCATTTGTCCTGATCGCATAGATATGTATTTGAATCTTGAATATTGTACATATTACCAAATTAGCAAGATGTATCAAAATATTACCAATAAGAATTTTCTTATCAATATCTTAAAAAAAATTCTAAATAGAATATTGCCTCTCTGTGA